AAAGAATGAGACACCCAGGGTCATTTGCTTATTTTTAAATGGGTAGACAACCTCTCAAAATGCTCAAGGCTGACAACCAATTAAATCAGTTTGTGATTAATTATATCAGCCTTGGCATTCTGAAACCTGAGCATGGGAAAAATGAAGCAAACACAATAGCTGATAGCCTGTATTTGGTTTACAAAGAGTAAATATCTGTAGTCAGAATTCTTGCATTCATTGTGAACTGTTCTATGTCCTGAGCAAGGAGAATAGTTGGATGATAGTAGAGATAGGGATAGGGATGGAGATGGAGATGGATAGATAGATGCTGTTGTTGTTTATTTGGTCAGTCGCTTCTGACTCTTTGTGACTTCATGGACCAGCCCACGCCAGATCTCCCTGTTGGCCATCACCACACCCAGTTCCTTCAAAGTCAAGCCAGTCACCTCAAAGGATACCATCCATCTATCTTGCCCTTGGTCAGCCCCTTTTCTTTTTTTCCTTCCATTTTGCCCAGCATCACTGTCATCTCCAAGCTTTCCTGTCTTCTCATTAAGTAGACAAAGTACTTCATCTTCACCTCTAATATCCTTCTCTCCAGTCCAAAATAGGTTGACACACCTCCATCCCTAGGCTGGGACTCTTGATGAGAAGAACCTCTGTCTTGTCTAGATTCAGTTTCAATTTATTTCCTGGAGGATGGACTGGTTTGATCTTCTTGCGATCCAAGGCATTCTCAGAACTTTCCATCACCATAGTTCAAAAGTGTCTCTCTTCCTTCACTCAGCCTTCCTTATGGTCCAGATGTCGCAAAACCAATCCCAACCCCACCAGTATTCAAATTTGGGTGTTGTGCTCTCACACGCTGGGCCTATAGCAGTTGGCTTTTGAACAGGACATGTTCTTTGTGCCCAGCGGGAAGCCGGGGTGCCTCGAGTGAGAGGCCCTAAGGATTTTCCTATACAGAGTCTTTAGAAGCTTGAAAGGTTTAACAAAGTCCTTTATTATTGCTTAAGTCTTCAACAAACAATCAAATACTTCTTAGATCTTCAACAAATTAAACAAATGCTTCAAGGCTTTGAATCAACTGGTGGGCACCTTGCTTGGAGAACTATTTCTTTCTTTAACAAGGAAAACCCTTTTTGACCCCTCCCGGGCAATCTGTTTTCTAGGCTCTGCTGGTGTGGGCCCTACTCCCGGCTCCAATTGCTTCTGGTTACCCAAGTAGACCTACCAGCCAAGACCTTGTAGATTTTCCAGCTGGAGTCCTTTTGGATTTTCTCCACAAATGATGTGGATCTGTATCTTTAACCCCAACAAGGGTTGTGCTGTAAAACTGTTTTCCTTAGAAGCTTTAGGGCTGTTTCCCCCGGATGTTGTGAGAAACGAAGCTTCTCTACAGGTGGGGAAAGCTCACGTCCTGTAACTGGGCTTCCAAAACTGAAAGACTGCCTGAAGTCTTTCTTTTCCCTCCCAGAGCCCTGGGGAAAGGGGCGGAAGTAAAGAACATAATGATGATTGATGGGTCATTGGCCCTATAATTGCAGAGCAAGGGAAACCACCTTATTGCAAAATGCATGGAACCTTGGAATACATGCAAACACTTAATAGAAAGAAAATGAAGTAGGAGTACAGCCGTACCAGCACAGGCATATTTAGTATTTGTGCCAGTGAATGAAAATACATCCTGCATATCAGATATTTATATTACGATTCTTAACAGTAGCAAAATGACAGTTGTGGAGTAGCAACGAAAATAATGTTATGGTTGGGGGTCACCCCAACATGAGGAACTGTATTAAGGGGTCATGGCATTAGGAAGGTTGAGAAACAACACTGCCATAGAGTGTTTGCTGATTGCCTTATCAATGGAAACATTTTGGGCTACAACAACAGCTCAATTATCCAATCTAATGAAACTGAGTTGTATCAGAGCTAGGAAGTGAAGCTTGGCAGATGTACAGGTTGCTTTCTTCCTAAATTAAAAATGAAATGGTAAAGTGAGTACTTTGTTTAGCATGCCTAGTTTGAAAGGTGATCTCGTCAATCTCCAATATATATATTTTGAATCTGAAATTGATAAATGCAGGTGTGCCGAGCATATCCAGAAACTACTTGTATCTCTGATGGAGACCCAGCACTTGGACTTTAGACCTCTGAACCTTGTTTGTAGTTAAGAGCAGGACACAGATAGGCAATTGCTGACTTTCAGTGTGAAGTGGTGAGTTGTAACCAAGGCTTTAATGCAGCCTGCTAACTGGCTCTCTGTCTCTGTTCTGGATGGATACCTCCATCACCCCCAGGCTGCACAACCTGTATATTTGGATAATGGCCTCTTGAAGTCCCTGGGTTTGGGAAGGCAGCCATAGAGGTACCATAGCATATAATGCCACCCACCATCCTCACCCTCATTTTTCACTTTATTTCATTTTGTGTTGAGCCAGGTTGAGCTCAGCTAGGACCAATTACAGTTTGAGTAGAATGGTGGAAGGCAGACTTGAACATTTCCTCCTAGCTTTCCGCTGACCTGGAGCTTTGACCCAACTTTGTTATAAAAGAGAATGGCAGTTATGAAATACCTCTCTAATCCCGAGATTCTCCTCACTTGTTCCCCCACCATTTGTCTTGTGTTGGGTTCTTAATGAATTTGTCACACCTTCAAGCACAGTGGCAAACACTAGGGATTGGAGCCAGGCTGCAAAATTGGGGAGGAAAAACAGAGCAAAGTGAGCAGGTCAGGATCTTGGCTGTGAAATTAACAAGCCAAGGTGAAAGGCAGCTTGGGCAGGTAATGCAAAACGTTGAGAAAAGAAGAAAAGAGACAATGGAAATTGGATTGCTCGTGTTACATAGAGCAGAACCAGACAAAGGGAATTGAAGTGTGCAGGTGCATTACCCATCTCTCATCCTAATAGCTGTGCTAACTTGATAAGGAAGTTGCTAAAATTCCCAAAGTCTGTTCCCAGCCTTGAACTGCCAACATCTACTAGAAACTCATTACCACTTTCAGTGTTACTAGTAAGGCGATTGATAATGTTTGTCACTTTCTGTTGAACCCACATTCCTGTTGACAGGAACCATACCCACTACAGATGGTGTTTTCCCCTTGAAATCACAGGATTCCCCCACACCAAGCACCAAACTTTTGATTTGAAGGTGGGACTCCTAAATACCCAGGACTATTCCCAGTTTTCCTAAGTATCACAGTTACAGCCACTAACATTGAATCTATTTATGGCTTACTACATGAGTGGTACACTTTGTTGGTTATAAGGCACACCATTTCTTCTTCCTCCAAGCACCAACCCTGGAATAGAAATCAATTGAAAGCTCCAGATATCTATTTCCTTATTACTAGGCTGTGGCATAACTAGTTAGTAGCCAGCTGCATTAAAACACTACTAACTGAGAGGTCATGGATTCATTGTCAGCCTGGGTTGGAGTGAGCTCCTGGCCAATAATAGTGTTGTGGCTCAGCCTGAGCATGGGCTTTCTGAGCCTGAGTTTCCTCTTTCTGAGCCTGAGTTTCCTCAGGACGAGGAGGATGATGGGTTACAGATTTCTGCATAAGTCCCTGTTATTGAAGCAGACTGTTCTGTCGTGCGCTGTGCTTGAAACAAATTGCTTTTAAAACAGGACGTGCAACTTTAGCCCAGCGGGAAGCCAGGGGGCCCTGAAGAGAAATTCTTAAGGATTTTCACCATAAACAGTCTTTAGAGGGCTTGTGAAATATAACAAAGTCTTTTATTGGTGAACAATCAACAGAAACTTCTTTTGTCTTCAAAAGGTTAAACAAATGCTTCCAGGCTTTTGTGCAACTGGTGGCTTCTAACTGTTACTTTACTCTAAAGGAAAATCCCTTTCCAAACTTCTCCCAGGCTAACTGTGAACCTAAACCTAACTGATGTGGGCTCCACTACCGGGTTGAACTGCGTCTCAAAGCACCGAGTGGACCTACCAGTAGGCCTGTAGTCACTTCAGCTGGAGTTCTTAGATATTCAAAGCTGTTATTCCCTCCAAAATTCCTCGGGGCTGTAATGCTGTTTCCCTGGGAATCTTTGGGAATCCTTTTGCTCTTAAGACTGTTCTCCCCCGGAGGTCTTAAGGGTTGAAGCCTTTGTACAGGAGAAGTCTGTACAAGTCCTGTACATTGACTTTCCTTGCTGAGACTGACTGAAAATGGCTCCCTTCCCTTCTCAATTGTCCTGAACAGGGGGCGGAACCAAACTTAACGATGATGGACAGGTGGCCTGCCCTATAACTGCAAACTTTAACAGGAAGCCACCCTTCTGCAGAATCCCAAGCCTTGGACTGCAAGCAAACATTTAATACAAAGCAAATAAAGCTGGAGCTTCTGGTACGGCCGTACCAGCACAATGAGTACAGTATGAAGAAAAGGATGCTTATGCCTCTTCACTTTGTGCTTTCTTCAACATTATGCTTCTACCATTGTGCCACAA